TGATGATCGTTATTTCCATAGTGATCGAAAAAAAATTTCGTCGCTAATTTGTTGAATTTTCATCATTAAATCGATCTAAAACGAGTTATCTGTGGGATCTTATATCCTTCGCTATTTTCACTCACATCCATCGCTATTCGCTAAGATCCTCGCAATTTCGTCGCTAAATCCGTCGTTATTTAGTAACCGTATATGTCTTTGCCGCTAGATATCCTTGCAATTTCGTCATTAAACAAATGATTTCTTTTTTTAAATCAATAGTCGTATATTTTTTATTGTAATAACAAACAACTATAAATAACACCTTATTAAAACAAGATATATTATGTAATAAAATTAAAATTGTATAAATTGAAATAAAATAAATATATAAATGCGTTAAGATATACAATAACATTAAAAACTTAAAAAAAAAATAAATAAATAAGAAATTCAATCCTCGTTATCATCGTCTCTTGTATCATTTTTCAGCTGCGAGAATGGTCGACTCCTAGGTTATAGGAGGGTCGGTAGGAGGGACGCAAGGCTTTTAAAGGTTTTGTAACAAACCCATTACTATCCGCAACTAACTATGTATGGAGTTAACTTAAGCTGATTTATTGTTGGATGGTAATCTCCATCCTCTTGATCCTATTTTTTATACTAGGCGGGAACCTCCGAATACTACCACCGGGATACCACGAAGTGACGGAAGAGGAGGTAGTGCCGGGATGTTAGTAACACTAGGACACATAAGTTTCGATGTTATACACTATTTGCTTTTTCTTCCTTCCACTATCATCCAAATATATCTTGGACATGTCAATAATTAGAGATGATAAATCACCCTCCTATCGCTCTTTAACAACTCGCTTCTTATATTGAATACACGCGCTTCTATATCTTTAAAATAATTACAATATTAAATCATAAACATATTTTTTAGATTATATCGATAAACGTATATATATTTAGAAAAAATATAAAACCTTATCATTACTATTTGCGATCACCTATCGACGAATGTTCTATCTTTTCACTTGTGAGTGGTCACGAATAGCTCGTAAAGATTTAGGTTATGACCCAATTTATTATGCTGAAAAAAATATATATAAAATGAGATGAAATAATAAATAAAATTAATTTATAACACAATGGATAATATAGAATTTAACAAACGTTCAACGTGCTTAATTAAAAAGATAGACCCTCCACTATGCTTGGATGGGCCAGCATCGACACCACCTATCTTGGACATATAGTTCTAAGACCTTGCCGAGATCAAGTCCGATACTCAAGAGTGGCTCAATTCGATTTCATGCTTTCCATACCTCCTGTTTAACAAACACAAGTACGTAACTCTTATGCATCGGTTTGTTAAACATGTTCCCGTACTTGCCTCCATTTCAAATTCTTCCACACATTTTTAATCAATGCATCGACGATCGCATTCCATAAAAAAGTACTTCTACATGAAGAAAAAAATATCATTAGTACTTTTCATATTAAATTAAAAATTTAAATGAAATATAAACAAATAATTAATATGTTATCTTAAAATCATTAAAATAGAAGTCTTTTGTCTCCATGGAGCCAATGACTTTTAATTGATCTTTGAAAAATTACGATAATTTTTGTTAAGCACTTGCTTGGTAGAATCAAATTATCGAACAAAAGTAAATAAATAATAAACAAGTAAATTAATAATTTCAATATAATATATAAAAATATAAAATTAATTATGTCATGTAAAATATATTACTTACTAGTAATTCATGACTCGAATAGTCCATCCATCATCGGATCCGATAGATATTTTTGGAGTTGAGGAAATCACGGTAGAATCATCCATAGCGAGAGGCAATATCGACGGGGGAACTATCGAAGGGGATGTAGACATGCCGGCACCACTATCAAATCTGCGGCTCCGGACACTTGCATTATAAATGCCACGTCCACGTACACTACCACTATCGGTCACACGACAACATCGAGCCACGACCAATAATACCACGACTAGATCTCGTCCACAAGGCATAACTCAATAATAACACTTGAAACGACTTAACAAATGAATAACAATTCGATCGAAAATATATTATAAATTATTATATTTTTGCACTTTCGAGGCAACATAAAATTATTTAATTAATAATTTTTTAAACATATAATAAAATTTTGATAAAGTCTTCCTTGTAAATTACGCATTTTCCAATTAATAGGTACTCCAAATGATCACATAAATAACAAATTAAATCAAATAAGAGTCAATTTGTGCATACCGAGACCGACAATTATCTCGAATACTCCATCGAAATTAAATCTCAAACTCGTTCTCCTGGTTCCATCGAAGAGCATTGGACTAACCTTATTTCTCATCAAGTCTTGAGGATCTCCAATCCTTCGAGTTCGATACACTATGATGTATTTTGACACTTTTTAATAATTATATACGAAATAATTAAACTAATTAATTCCAATTCTAACTTAATTAAATTTAAAATAATAATAAATTAACAAGTTATAATTCAACCAATTAGACATAATTAACCAAATTAATTAATTAATTAATATAAATCAAATTAACTCAATTAATTCTAATTCTTGCCAAATTAAATTCAAGACAACAATAAATTAACAAGTTTTTTTATTAAAATAAAGTTATAATTTAACCAATTAAACATAATTAACCTAATTAATTAATTATAAATAAAATTAAGTTAATTAATTCTAATTTTAACCAAATTAAATTTAAAATAACAATCAATTAACAAGTTTTATAATATAAATAAAGTCTTAATTCAACCAATTAAACAAAATTAACTTAATTAATTAATCAAATATAAATCAAATTAACTTAATTAATTCTAATTCTATCCAAATGAAATTTAAAATAATAATTCAACTAATTAAAAAAATTAACCGAATTAATTAATCAATTATAAATCAAATCAAATCAATTAATTCTAATTTTAACCAAATTAAATTTGAAATAACAATTAAATTAACAAGTTTTAATATATAAAAATTTTTAATTCAACTAATTAAAAAAATTCACCTAATTAATTAATTAATTATAAATCAAATTAACTTAATTAATTATAATTCTAACCAAATTAAATTTAAAATAAAAATTAAATTAAATTAATTAAGAAAAATTAAACAATTAATTACTAAATTTATTCTGATTCAACCAATTAAATATAATTAACCTAATTGATTAGCTAAACCTAAATAAAATTAACTTAATTAATTAAAAATAAATTCTAATCAATTTAAATTCTAATTAAATTAATAAATTAACCTAACAATTAATAAAATTTAACAATTTAACAATTAATCAATAAATTCACCTAACAATTAAAAAAAATTAACAATTTAATAATTAAATCAATAAAAAAATAATTAAATATATACATAATTATAAATCAAGCAATCGATCTTAAAATTGACTAACAATTACAATAAATTATCAACTTTAATTAAGAAAATAAGAGAGAGAAAAACTCATCTAACTTGGGTGAAATTACAACAAGAGGAGGAAAAGGAAAAATGAAAATTTACTCCTAATTCGAGGCACGATCTCTTGGTGGGCCTTTATATTCTTGGTATCCCATCATAAGGTATTTTTTTTTTTTTTTTGGTTAAAATCTCATGTAACTGGGGTGCCGTTTATTTCCAAAAACAGAAAAGTAAGAAGTAAGATTACCTCTTATTTTATATGAATATAAAAGAAAAGACAGCAAAGTTAGACATGCAAACAGGGCAGTTGTGTAGTGCGTTGATGAACTTTTCAAAGAGAACAGAGATCTGAACTTGGAAGTGGACATTGCTTTCTTTCTTTTTGGTACGAAACAAAGGGAAGTTATTGCAATTCAAAGCCAACCCTTAATTTGTATCAGCTCCTTCTCTACGTTTGTTTTAATTTGGAAGGGCACCAAAGCATCAAGGCGTCTACTGTCTCATTTCATCATGTGCAACGCACACAGAGTCAGCCACATGCAATGCAAACCCATTTGGAAACAGAATAGAAGGGGACGACGCAAATCAGCTCCTTTATAATGATTTATTTTTCAAATCAGTTCTCAAACTGAATCAGTTATGCATTTCTACCACCAAAAATAACTTTACTCCCTCAGAATTATGTGCTTCACACTTTATTATGTTTTGTTTTGGGATTCAGAATTCGAATGGTATCAAAATTTCCACAGTAAAAAGTATATTTGATTTATTATTCTTTATATTTTCATAAAATTTTTATTAAAAATATTATTTATTTATCTTTATCCATATTTTTAATTAAAAATTTATTTTATAAATTGTTTTTTTCTAAACACATTGTAATCTTAAAATTTTTAATTAAATATCAGAAAAAAAGTGATTAAAATGATTAAACATAAAGATAAAAATAAAACTTAAAAATTTGAAGATCGAAAAATAATATTAAAAAAAATAAAATATAATATTATGAAATCTTTTATAATAAATATTTAAAAAAAATTGTAAACTAAAAAACATTGTATGATGGAAAATAACAGTGTACATAAGTCTGAGTAGTCTGTATTAACAGTAAACTTATGTTCTGATTTTTTTATATATATATATATATATATATATAATAATAATATATAAAGCACTGGAAATAATAAAGGAAGAAATAAAAGGAGAGAGAGGTTTGCAAAAAGTGTCGACATAATCGTGCTCATTCTCATACATAGAGTGGCAACTGTAAGACGCCACCTCTTCGAATTGCTTTGCTTTCGTCAAACAATGTCGACACTCTCACTTAATCCCCATGAAAATATTCCCATTCTCTCTCTCTTCTTACCTATTTCTGCAATCCTACAGTGGTATTGCGCGCTGCATAAGACTATCCTCCTCGTATACTCATGCTCTCTTTATGATCACGTCGTCTCTTGCTTTTTGTGTTTTTTCTTTTTAATTATTGGAATTTGGGTCTCATTGTCATATTACTACTTCTTTATTTATACTCCCCAAACATATTCTTATTCCCAAGTCCCATGTTATTCATCCAGGTTGGTTACTTTTTATTTTCTTTCTCGCACTAGTATCAAAATATTGACATTTTTTTTATGGTTTCTTGATATTGGGTTATTGCGATTTGTAACAGGATATCTGGGAATTGCTTTGCCTCGATAATTTCCAATCGAAAGCTCAAGCTTTCTCTGGTAATTTCTCATAATTCTGGATTCTGGGCCTTGCTTTGTTTTGTTATGCGACCCTCGGATTAGGGTTTTCTTTTTCCTGTTTAAGAAAAGCAGAATTTTGGATTCTGGGTCTTGTCTATTTCTGTTAATTTTGTTGTGTTGTATGCATAATGGAACCCGATTCTCCGTTTTAGCACTCGAAAAGCATAAAAGAGCAAATTTTTAGCTCCAGTTCGCTGATTTCATACCTTCCCTTAGACCAAATCAGATTATTTGTTGTGTTATATCTATAATTGAGCTGAATTCTCTGTTTTGTGAGTTGCGAACTTTCACATTGATTGTTGCTAATGTCACATAAAGCTAACTTTTTTTTTTTTTTTAATAATGCAGATTCTCTTTTTGAAACAATCTCTGAATCAATGTCAAGCACGAGCTGTGGAACCTCCAAACTCGATATCTGCCGAGATGACACGGCAGCACTCGCTCTCAAATTCATTGCTATAGCTTCAATTCTCTTCGGTGGCATGGTTGGCATTGCAATACCGTTAATTGGAAAGCACCGCCGCTTCCTCCGCACCGATGGGAGTCTCTTTGTCGCTGCCAAGGCCTTTGCAGCAGGCGTGATTTTAGCCACCGGTTTTGTTCACATGCTCTCGGCTGCTTCCAAGGCTCTCTCGAATCCTTGCGTACCCCTATACCCGTGGAAGAAGTTCCCATTTTCAGGGTTTTTTGCTATGATGGCTTCTCTGATAACTCTTCTTCTTGATTTTGTGGGGACCCAATATTATGAGAGGAAACAGGGGTTGAATAGGGCTAGCGAGGAGCAAGTTCGGGTCGGGTCGGTGGATACGAGTTCGGTTCATGATTCAGGTATCACGCCGATTGCGGAGGTTAAAGAGTTGAATGGGCCTAATGGGAAGGTGTTTGGTGAAGAGGAGCATGGTGGGATGCACATTGTGGGGATGCATGCGCACGCAGCACACCATAGACATAGCCACCCTCACGGGCAGGATGCATGTGATGGGCTTGTCAGAGGTGGTGACCGCGGGTCTGGATCCGGGCATGGACATGGACCCAGTCATGGTCACGAGCATGGCCATGTTCATGGGCTTGGAGAGGGTGATGTGGAAAGTGGTGTGAGGCACGTTGTCGTTTCACAGGTGAGTGTGTGGTTTCTTTTTGTAGTGGTGATGTTTTTGTACGGTTGCAGTGCTTGCTTTGCTGATTTTTGTTGTTGTAGTGGTGTATTTGGATCTCTGTTACTGTTCTCTTTGTGGGTAGATTGAAAACGTTCTAGTTGTGGGGTAGCTGAAGTGATACCCTTATTTACTTTGATGGGATCCACAAAGAAATGGTCAATGGTCTCATCTAGCTTGTGTATGTTTTAATGGTTGGTAATCTGCTAATTATTCTGAAGTGATTGCAAGTTGCCATGCTTTTTCAACTTGTTTATGTTTTTTTAATTTTGTTTATGGTCTACTTAACTATAGTGTGTGTATTTCTCGGTTGGTAATGACCTAAAGTACTTGCAACTTGCAAGGCAAGTTCAGCTTTAATGTTTTTATTTTGGGTTATGTCTATTTAATTATTTTGCGGTTTGTTAGCTAGTAATGAGTCTAAAGAACTTGCATTTTGCAATGACCTGGAGCTTGATGTTTTTTATTTTGTTTCTGCAGATATTGGAACTTGGGATTGTCTCACATTCTGTCATCATTGGGTTATCCCTAGGAGTTTCACAGAGTCCATGTACCATAAGGCCATTAATTGCTGCATTATCATTTCACCAGTTCTTTGAAGGATTCGCGCTTGGGGGCTGCATATCTCAGGCACAATTTAAGACTCTCTCGACTACAATAATGGCATGCTTTTTTGCCATAACAACCCCTGCAGGAATTGGCATTGGAACAGCCATTGCTTCATTTTACAATCCGAACAGCCCAGCAGCATTAGTTGCTGAAGGCATCTTAGATTCTCTGTCAGCTGGAGTTCTGGTTTACATGGCTTTAGTGGACCTAATTGCTGCTGATTTTCTTAGCAAGAGAATGAGCTGTAATTTTAGACTTCAAGTAGTGTCATATTGCATGCTTTTCCTTGGGGCTGGATTGATGTCTTCCCTTGCAGTCTGGGCTTGAGTTTATTGGTTGTTTTAGATGAGCTGTTTAGTTTCTCTCTTTTTGGGTGTTGTTCACTTCAGAGCAAATTGTGCAAAAATTCGTCAATCGATTTTTTGATTGCTTTTAGGAGAAGAAGAACAAGATATAGGGAGAAAGTAACTAGAAGCTATAGGCGTTGTTTGTCATATTCATGAAATCACATGTATAAAATGGATGGTTGCTTTCCTCCCCTTCTGGAAAAAGAAAAGATCAATGGCGGTTCCGCCAACCGGTAGCAGTGATGGACAAATTTTACAGATAACTAATGCTGGCATTTTGTCTTGTATTGTTCGAGTGGCGGTTTGCTTATATTGACAAATGAATTTCTTTTGTACGACTCGCATTTCGCTGAGCTTAAAGCAATACGTAACAAGATCAGCCTTTTTGGTCCTTTGTCAAGTACAACACGATTGCCCTAGGGCTTTGGCTGCTGCTGTTTTTTTTTTCCCTCCCCTTTCCTTCGGGTGTTTTATGCGGTTTTCTTGTATGGTTTTGGTTGGTAAGCAAGTTTTAGCTTAGAAAAATATCTGGTTGCTTGGTCCAAGAGCATTAGAAACGCCCTTGCCCAACAACACCCAAACCCTAAATTCTTGAGGTCCTACGATGGGTTCAAGAAGCTACCTCCGAACAAACTACGGCGGCAAGGGGTCGGTCAAATCAGTTTTGGGGGGCTTGTTTAATTAGCTTACAAACCTAACTTCCGATGATAATAGCGCGCAATTGGTTGAAAAGCTGTTGTAACTGGAGCATAAATTTTGCCACCATTTTAGAAGTAGAGTTTCGTGGATTCAAATTCAATGAACAAACAAGTAACTGCGATGTAAATACTAAATAGAGTTGAATATTAACAAAGATCACTCGTCTTGATTGGGGATCGGTACTCGTACTTAGCTATGAAAATGGACCCAAAGCCAATCTTGATGTGGAGTGGAGGCATAGCTCCTTTTAACCTTTTAAGTGGGGTGGGGGACTGTGAGTGATTGAGACGTAAATATGTCAACTCTGTGCTAAAAATGGATAATTAATTGAGCTTGGGATGAACCTATTTGAGCCCCCACCCCAAATTTTTAGGCGGAATGGTCTCATCAAGCAAAAGCATGGCGATTTAAATTTAGGAGATTTTAGCACATCAAATCATTCCATCCGCTTTCTTTTCTTTTCGTTTCTTTTTTCCCTCTCCATCGCCAAAAAAAAAAAAAAAAGAATTAAATTTTCTATTCATTCTTCAAATTGACCCAAAAAGTTACAGCCAAGTTGTAAGAATTTGAAAAAAAAAATTTCTAAGAAAAAGAAGGTCAAACTACGATTTCACTACAACAAATTAGTAATAATAATAATAATAATAATAAATGATTCTGAGTATATTTATCAAAATTATAGAGGATTAGAGTAATTAGACTTATCTTTAGGTAATATAAACAACTATTCAATTTTTTTTATTATATATCTTTTTTTTCATTCACTTAAATGTATCAAAATTATATAAGATTAGACTTATCTCTTAACAAAAATTTCTACAGATTAAACCTTATCTTGATGTTCATAAATTAAAAATAATTCATTATATTTGTGTGTGTAAAAGAGTTTCACCGGTTGTAAAGAGAATATTTTTATATAAATTTATCCGAAAATATTTTTATTATCGAAAAAAAAAGCATCATAAGCCACTCTAGAGGTTTGTGCCCATCTTATTTGTTACTATACTAACTTAGTTTTTGAGCTTTGCATTTTTATGAGAGCATGTGCAAAAATTGTATCGTAAACCTACGATGTTATGGGTGATTTGCATAGCTCAGTTGTTTAATGAAGTTGAATGAGAATAATCCAGCAAAGAGAATCATTATATACCACTTAAAAATGGACTAAACCAATAGAATTATTATAAATAATTAAATTTGTCGAAATCATCCATTTAACAAATCACATTTAGGATATGTTAAATTTTTTCACATTTAATATTATATTTATAATTATCAAATAAAATAATTAATAATCTATTTATGACATGGATAAATTTAATGATGTGCAAACACTTACATCGAAGGGAGGCTTGTGAATCAAGTGAAGGTCCATAGGGAGCGGAGGTGGTGTTCAAGCCATATGAAGTAACAAAACAAATAAATCAAGGCCCAAAATGCTAGAAAATGGATCAATCAGGTCGGGTTGTGGATCATGATTTGAAAACCTGCTAAACCCGACCCGAATAACGTAGCATGCATATGTGATGTAACCCATTTTAGGGTAAAACGTTAAAACCATGTGCGCATATCAGTCAATAAAGTCTTTAACGTAACATATCCAACCCAACCCAACCTAACCCAACCTCCTATAAATACATAATCTTTTTCTTTCTCTGCCTCCTCCTCATCACTTCCTTACTTCTCAGCCGCCTCCGCCTTCCCATCACTAAAAACAACACAACACAGCACCCTCTTCTCCCTTCCTTCTGTAACCCTACCACATTACATCTTCAACAAGCCAGAAATTTTGTATTTGGATGGGATTAGTTGGGCTTTGGATTCGTGGCGGCGGTGATGGCTCTGGAGAGTGCTTTGTTACCACATTTCCATCTTTTTTTCTAATTTCATAGCCTGACCCGAGCTATGCTCACCTCTAGAATACAAGGTAAACTCTCTTTTTAGCTATCGAATTCAAATATTACTTTTTACCAAACTGGACCGGTAAGCTTTATTTCATTGTGCAGTAAAAAAAGGGATATACAAATCAAGCAAAAGCATAGCATCGGTGCCTGTAGTGACAAATTTTATAACATCCTTCAAACCCTACTACCACCTCAGTCAGTTTCACTCTTCCAGTTTAGCGGGGGTTCTCTCCACCTAATCAAATGCCCCTCTTCTCTCACCGCCACTCCTCCGCCCTCCCAACCACCACCAATCTCAAAACTTCAAAACCCTCGAAACCCAACTTTAGCCCTCCTTCAACCCGCTACCCTCTACCTTTTCTAGTCTTTTCACTCGTCTCCCTTCTCATTGGCCTTTCTGGTACAATTTTCGCTATCTCAGCGATTCGCAGGCCCAAAGCTGTTCCAGTTTTTCGCTGTGGCAGATCCGAGGACACCTTTCGAGCATTTTATTCGGGTTCGGGTAGGACCCGAAGTGATGGCAACGGAGGATTGATTGACAAGCCCAAGCTTCTTGGGTTTGTTGGGGTTCAAACCGGATTTGAATCGGGTGATCGCCGCTCTGCCCTTAGAAGTACTTGGTTTCCTTCTGACCCAGATGGACTTTTGAGGTAAAATCATGATTTTTGTGTCCAAAGTCGAGAACTCTGAGAGGTTATTTTATGTTTTTTATATTATCAAGATCAGTAATGATGATTTATTAGTAAATGTGATGCTTTTAATGGTGTTTATTCAATTTTATGTTCTGTTTTTGTTTTGTCTTGCGTATAAAGTAATTCTATAAAAAGGAGTAATTGTATTCTATGTTTAAGAAAGTACACTGTTTAGGTCATGTAGATTGCATTTCATAATAATTAAAACCTGAATTTTATTAAATATAAATCGCACCCTCGTCTTTCCAATTTGTGGCTGAACAAATGGGGCATGAGTTAATTGGAAGGAGAAATGAATACCTTGCCTTCTCTCTGTTATAATACATTCTAGTAAAGTTGTACTTTTCTTATGTTATGTCTCGAGGAACTTTGTAGCAATGATGTCATTGATAATCCCAGCTCTATGAGATCTTCAGTTAGAGGGTTTAGGAATATATGTTATCAATTTCTGTCTTAGCCTATAACTTTTTCCGAGAAAGATATTTGATTCTTTAGGAACTTACTGGCAATGATGTCATTGATAATCCCAGCTCTATGAGATCTTCAATTGGAAGGTCTAGGAATAGATGTTATCAATTCCTGTCTGAGCCAATAACATTATTATAGTTTCATTTTGCTTTTATAATTTTAAGTCTCGAGGAACTTGCTGGCTTTGATGATCAATGATAATCCCAGCTCTATGAGATCTTCAATTGGAAGGTCTAGGAATAGATGTTTTAATTTCTGCCTGAGCCTAATAACATTCTTCGACTAAGATATTTCATTATACTTATATAATTTTGATAATCCCAGCTCTATGAGATCTTCTATTGGAAGGTCTAGGAATAAATGTTTTAATTTCTGCCTGAGCCTAATAACATTATTATAGTTTCATTTTGCTTTTATAATTTTAAGTCTCGAGGAACTTGCTGGCTTTGATGATCAATGATAATCCCAGCTCTATGAGATCTTCAATTGGGAGGTCTAGGAATAGATGTTTTAATTTCTGCCTGAGCCCAATAACATTCTTCGAGTAAGATATTTCATTATACTTTTATAATTTTGAGTCTCGAGGAATTTGCTGGCAATGATGTCATTGATAATCCCAGCTCTATGAGATCTTCAATTCGAAGGTCTAGGAATAGATGTTATCAATTTCAGTCTGAGCCTATAACATTGTTTCAGAGTTCATTATACTTTCTATAATTTTGAGTCTCGAGGAACTTGCTGCCCAGCTCTATGAGATCTTCAATTTGAAGGTCTAGGAATAGATGTTATCAATTTCTGTCTGAGTCTATAACATTGTTTGAGTAAGATATTTCATTATACTTTTATAATTTTCAGTTTTGAGGAACCTGCTGGCAATGATGACCATTGATAATCCCAGCTCTATGAGATCTTCAATTGGAAGGTCTAGGAATAGATGTTATCAATTTCTGTCTGATCCTATAACATTGTTTAAGTAAGATTTTTCATTTTACTTATAAATTTGGATTCTTGAGGAACTTTATGGCAGTGATGTCATTGATAATCCCAGCTCTATGAGATCTTCAATTTGAAGGTCTAGGAATAGATGTTATCAATTTCTGTTTGAGCCTATAAAATTGTTCTAGTTTCATTTGCTTTTATAATTTTATGCTTGAGGAACTTGCTGGCTATGGCGATCATTGACAATCCCAGCTCTATGAGATCTTCAATTGGAAGGTCTAGGAATAGATGTTTTAATTTCTGCCCGAGTCTATTAACATTCTTTGAGTAAGATATTTCATTATACTTTTATAATTTTGAGTCTTGAGGAACATGCTGGCAATGATGACAATTGATAATCCCAGCTCTATGAGATCTTCCATTGGATGGTCTAGGAATAGATTTTATCATTTTTTGTTGGAGCCTATAACATTGCTTCAGTAAGATATTTCATTCTACTTATAAAAATTGGATTTTTGAGGAACTTTCTGGCAATAATGTCATTGATAATCCCAGCTCTATGAGATCTTCAATTGGAAGGTCTAGGAATAGATATTATCAATTTCTGTTTGAGCCTATAAAATTGTTCTATTTTCATTTTGCTTCTATAATTTTTAGCTCGAGGAACCTGCTGGTTATGATGATCATTGATAATCCCAGCTCTATGAGATCTTCAATTGGAAGGTCTAGGAATAGATGTTTTAATTTCTGCCTGAGCCTAATAACATTCTTCGTGTAAGATATTTCATTGTACTTATATAATTTTCAGTCTTGAGGATGCTGGCAATGTTGACCATTGACGATCCCAGCTCTATGAGATCTGCAATTGGATGGTATAGGAATAGATTTTATCAATTTCTGTCCGAGCCTATAACATTGCTTGAGTAAGATATTACATTTTACTTATAAAATTTGGATTCTTGAGGAACTTTCTGGCAATGATGTCATTGATAATCCCAGCTCTATGAGATCTTCAATTTGAAGGTCTAGGAATAGATGCTATCAATTTAAGTCTGAGCCTATAACATTGGTTATGTTAGATAATTCATTATTTTTGTTTTGCTCAGACATATAATTTAGTAATATTTTGTCTATCAGTTAGTTCTTTTCTTCCCCTTTGAAATTTTGCCTTGAAATCAGGTTATTTGTGGGTCCAACATGCTTTGATCATATTGAAAAGGACAGGTTCACTGCTGCTTTATTGCAGGTTGGAGCAAGCTACTGGTTTAGCATTTAGGTTTGTAATAGGGCGTTCAAAGGTTGCAAAGAAAATGGCCCAGCTTGCAAAAGAGGTGGATAAGTACAGAGATTTCATGCTTATAGATATTGATGAAGAATATCTAAATCTTCCATACAAAACGTAATAGTTCTTTTTCTGCACAAAGGTTTTCTAATGTGGATTAAATTGATAGCTTGGGAGTAATGCCTTTCTCCTGTTATTAGGTTGGCCTTTTTCAAGGCAGCCTTTAAGCTTTTTGAAGCAGATTATTATGTCAAAGCTGATGACGATATCTATTTGCGTCCAGGTATGTTATAGCATGTGTAATGACTTGTTAGTGAGGTAAACTGCAACTAACATTGATACTTTTTCTTTGTTAGATCGCCTTGCAACTCTTCTTGCTAAGGAAAGAACACATTCACTAACTTATATCGGATGCATGAAAAAAGGACCAGTGATTACTGACCCTAAAATGAAGTGGTATCCAAACATTGCATATTTTTTTACTGTTGTATGTCATTATTTTTTACTGTTTGTTGGCATGAGCTCTTGTTTATTGCATTAGGTAATTTACTTTCTAAAAAATTTCAGGTATGAGAAATCAGGACATCTGATTGGAAATGAGTACTTCCTGCATGCTTATGGACCCATATATGTTCTTTCTGCAGAGGTTGTGGCTTCATTAGCATCTGCTAGAAATAACAGGTCTGTGATTTACTTTAAACTTTTTACATTGATTTCTTATGTTTGTCGTTCTATGCATCTAGCCGGCCAACTTAATAATTTGCACTTCTTATAATCTGCTTATGCATGGTTATATATGATTACTTTTTTATATAGTTTTCAGTAGACTTCAGCATACTTTTCTTTTATTAATCAATTAATGGCTTTCCACGTTAATTGTCATGTGGTAATTGAAAATCAAGGATTCATGAGAGGTTTGAAGTTGGATAGCGAGAAATGGATTTTGAAAGAGTGCTACAATTTAAGGCTATAAACACTGTTAAATTTTCATTTTTGATTTAGTGCTTTTATATTCTTTAATCTTGCCATTGGAAATTTTGCTCATAATGATTAGGTTTGCCAATGGTAGCTTTATGTCTTTAATGCCTATCGTCAAGATACTGTCCAACTTTAAATGGTCTGATGAGGAATGCTTTGTATGAGAAGGATGGCCATGATACTGGTCTATGAGAACTTGTTTATGATAGGAGATTGACTCCCCTCTCCTGGGTCTTCTTTCTTGTCATCCTGATCCCTCCCCAAGGCCATGATCCAAATATCTCCTTTATCAGGAGTAGATTTTGGATCTAGAAGCTATCTTAAAAGAGGAAACACTATGGCGTCAGTCATAGACCCTCACATTAGTTAGGCTTTCAGTTATTCTGCCATAATATAGGAAAACGATGGTTGAATTAGAAGATGATGCCCACTAACCCTTCTGTTCTGTGTTATTTAAACTGGCATACTGATCCAAACTTCCATTTGGATTCAGTGGCAATATTTTTCTTTCTCAAGTGTTACTGAATTTACTTATTTGATTATGTTTTTATACAGAAGCCTTTTTTTTCTCTTCCTTTCTTTTTTAGCCATTGTCATGCTGTATTATTGTTTTCCTTTGGATGTGCTCTTGCTAAGTGGATGCATCTTTTAGCTTTCAGTTTGAGAATGTTCAGCAATGAGGATGTCACCATTGGATCGTGGATGCTTGCGATGAATGTTCATCACGAAGATAACCGAGCAATATGTGATCCCCGATGCACTCCAACATCTATAGCTGTTTGGGATATTCCTAAATGTTCTGGTAATACTCTATTCCTCGAATTTCTAGAGAAATTCCCCCTTCTTTTGAACAATTATGCATGTTCTCTTGAGAGTGCCCTTCTTAGCCCATCGAATTCTTAATTGTGGAAACATGAGAGCAATGAATATATTGGTTTCTTGAACTAGTATACAGGAAAACCTGTAGGGCACATATTATAACAAAACAATATCATTTCTATATAGTTGTATGCTATTAAGATTTCTTTTAATTGCCATCAATGTCATACCTTTAACTGTAAATTTGTTATGAATACAAACTAATAAATAAATAATGACAGGAATTTTTCTTAATTAAATGTATCACCAAAATATGGTGAGGCATCTCTTATTCTTATTTTCTGATGTTTGCTAAAACAAAACTCTAATTAATGGATCAATGAACCATACCAGGTTTATGCAATCCAGCCAGTCGGATGAAGGAGCTTCACAAGATTGATATGTGCTCCAAAAGTCCAACACTGCCTCCTGATGATAGATAGTGTCATATAGGCTGTTTTTGAGCAGAGTGCTGGGTGGTTTAGGACAAGTATTTTTTTGAAGTCTCCCCAAAGAGCAATGGGGGCTTTTATACTCCGCCATCTATTCTGGATGTAAAGATTGTATTCCCTAACCTTGCATTACGTTATCTAGAAGTTGCTGGAGAAGGTAATGGCAAAATTAAAGAATTGCTTGATGCTTAAAACACCAACAGCTACTAGAATAAGCAAGTGTTGTTAGACATGTAGAATGCCAGCATCATGAGATTATGGTCGCTTGGGTGAGGAGACTGATTTTGATTTTGTTCAAGGATTCAAGCCGGGATACAAGCCTCTACTGATGACCTGATTACTGTTTTTGGGTTGTCCATGTTCCCAGGAGTTTGGTGTGTATACATACTGTTCTCTTTTATATGTGCTCTCCTTGTTGATTTGACCTTTTTTTATCATGTCGCTGGCTGCCTGTGTTATGAACTTATGTAAGAATACTATGGTGTCATGAACTTATGTAAGAATAATATGTAATAATGCTATATTGCTATGTTTCTTGGCCATCATTTTCTGGGAGCTTTCTAGTCGTAACTGGATCCTTCATTAATTAAATTCAATGCTCTCTTTGAGAGAGCGTAGAAATATCCAAAATAACTGAAAACCGAACAAATGGTTAATTTTAGTAACGATTTTAGGTACAATCTTAATAATTAACCAATAAGGGAATAACTTATCTCTTTTCAACATGAAACAAGTTTCATTATAGTGGTAAAAGTTATGATGGTAAAGGTTTAAAATTAACAAGAGGAGAGGGAGAAGGGATGGAAAAAATTTTACATTTAAAATTAACAAGAAGGGTGGAAATTTTACCCTTCTTTGTTTGGATAAATAAGAAGATAAGATTGGAACGGTTTATTTGGGGTTTTTTTTTAAAAAAAAGAAATAAGGTTAAAATAATACGATAATATCAAAAAATTATAAAGCTATTTCCTTCTCTTCCATTACATCTAGTTTAGGGTGAGATCCCCCTCCGTTACAAATTTTCTTCCAAATAAGGTTAAAAAGTCATTAACTTCCATTCTCCTCTCCTGTAAGTAAATATTCTTAAATTATGAAATCAGTTAAATTTATTTATAATCGATGACATAATTGTAATTTTTTTTAATATTTCATATAGAAATATTAAAAATAAATGTTATTCTTTTGATTCGGTTATCATGAAAATCATAACATAAATCGAAACCAGTAATTAACCATAATTGAACTTTAACCCTTTTTTTTTTAAAAAAAAAAAAAGGAAGAAAGAAAAACTTGAGCTTGTTTGAGTGGTTAACCATTGCCATCGTAGACTTGAGGGACAAAAGTCCCTAAAATCCCCCATTGCTGAACCACATCTCATAAAATCCGGCATCCATATACCCATTTCAACGGCTTCAATTGTAAAAATTATCCTATTAACTTGGGGAGGAAAAAAGAAAAATGAAAAAAGATTCATGCCACAATGGCCAACCATAGTCAACTGGAGTATTTCTTGCAGTTAATATTAACTAGAGTACTAGTACTAGTAAGTTAAGTGATGTGTCTAAATTCAAATAACCATGAAAAATCTCTCTCTCTCGAAGGAGTCGAATTAAGAGGCAACTATGGCCAGAGAACTCCACTAGGACAGAAAAACATACAAGATTGTAAATGTTGAGGCTTGAGTTCATCTTGGCCATGTGAAAATTCTAGCTGCAATAGCACCTTTTCATTAATTACGGCCACCGAGGAATTCATAAAGCACTTGCTGCAACTGTGAACAAGAAGAAGATTTATTAAGAAATAGATAGCATACCTAGCTCAAGCCATTGATGTCAAAATGAGGAATGTCAGAAGAAGTTTAATTACTTACAACGCACATCGTATTCATCTGCAGAGTAGACACTAAAATATCTTCGATATGGACGCAGGAACAGTATACTGATTCCAATTGAACCAGTTCAGCATTGCCTTCATGGAAAAAGATAGGAATGGCTGTATTTTCTGGACTAGGTACAGTTGCATGTGTATTCGTCAATGTTTCTCCAGCAACACCTGTTCCTGCAAACGCACATCGTCTTCCTGGGCACACCTAAGGATAGCAATATGATAAGCACGATCAGTAATGGCAAATCGTCTAGTTCATTGTGAAAATAAAGAGTCAGTGACTGACCTGAGGGGGGGGGGGGGGATTGTTGGAACCTCGTTAGGCAAAGATGAAACCAGAGCAAATTTAAGCATCTCCGTATTCTTTTTGAATGTTGCAGATCTCTTTGAGTTGTGCTTTGACCTGATTGTAAGAAAAAATGATCTTTCTCTTCAACCTAAAGAACACAACACTAACATCCTTTCTATCAAAAGCCAAGAACTTCCTAATAACTAGGAGTCGGGGCAGGTTATTTTTTAAAATGCAATGCCTTGGAGACCAAATGAAATGATAGTAATCATCAAGAGTCCATACCGAAAACTCAGCATTCCCAGTACTTGAACATAAATAAGATGATCCAGAAACTCTCCTAAATACCTACAAGGGCATTTGCATTGCAAATAACCATCTCTACCGTCATCTTCCTAACACAATTGCTATACCCCTCATCATCAATGTAGGCTAAGTCCCCTGGTGCGGAAGTGAAACTATGTAACTGTTTGTTTCTTATGGTGTAGGCAATCACACCAGATGGTTCCAACAACCAATGAACACCTCTGAAGAAAGTAGAGGGTTCAGACAACATGAAATTGTTTCGACGCTTAATTAAGTGATAAGTAACAGTCATCTATGTTTTTCCTATTTACTAGAATAGAATCATCTTTGTCAGTAAGCTCTGCAGTAGTAAAGTTAGGTTTGATAGAGTAGGGATCAAAGGCAAAGCCATATACAAGAAACCTTTTGGTTCTTAAGAAACTATCTGGTCGAATAACCAGAGATGGAGGTATAGGGAGGGTGGTGTAATCAGCATTAGAAGGGTTATAGACGATAAACATGGATTTTTCTTTACCAAAGTAGGAATTGTAAAGAAGAATCAACCCATTGGAGGAGTTCAATGGGGCTAAAAGTCCAGGAGTACCAATGGCAATGGTGGCACCAAACAACATCCCTGGTAGGTACTGTAGTTGGAATTGTAATAAGAATCTACAAGGACGTTGAGGTTTTTGGCTTGATTACGGGAGAGGAAATATTTGCTGGATACCTAACTTACCCATTATTTTGATAGACTTGAAAAGAGCCACAGATTGTGGAGGAAGTCTGAAAAAGATTTCTTGCATCAAGTCTTGCCGATCGCCTTCCCTGCTGATGATGATTGTCCTTGTCCAACATTTTTTCTGGCTCTCTTGATTCTCCTATGCTCCATCGCCTCCATGAGAATGCCTTTGGGCTATATATATTTCTAAAAAATAACATAAGATAGATATTGTATCTTGATCCGAATTCGATCAGAATTTAAAGGATATGATCAAAATTTAAAGGATATAGTAAACATTTTTTTTTTATCCAAGTCTAATTATAATTTGAATCCATTAACTATTTATTAAATAGATTAAATTCGAATTTATTTTAATCTGATCGGATAATAATCCCTTCCAAAAGTAAAATAAATATTTTTTTAATAAATATAATACTTTAATATATATATATATATATATATATATATATATATATATATATATATATATATATATAAAAGACTATGTTGAAATTTATAGTTTATTTTATTCTAAAGTTTAAATAACACATTTTTTTCATAGTAATGAATGTATTTTCAAAAAAATTATCAATAAATTTCTTGTCATTTTCTTAATTTAATTTCGTGAAAAAAAAATTATAAATTGACATATATACCTCTTCAAGAATTGGTATTATAATATTTGTCATCACCCTATTTTTGCTAAAAAATTAAAAGAAAAAAAGAAAAATCACAAAAAAAAGTAAGAGAAAGAAAAAGAGGAAAAAGAAACCCCGAAAAGAAGATTTGTGCAATTAGAGTTCTTTTCCTAAATAAATTCAAAAAAAGAGAAATTTCTTAATTCGAACATGCTTGAGTATTTTGGATGTAACTTTTTGTAGAGAGGTCCAATTCATGCGATTCGTACGACAAATTAAAGCTAAGAGATGATGCTATAATTTATATGTTTTAAGTTTGAATCAAATTGACTAGCATCCTAGAGAAAATTTCTCGTGATGTTCTATATGTTCCATCAATTACTATCGCTTTCAAAGCTACATTCAATATGAGAAGTAGAATTATTGATGATTATCGTATATTTTTAATTCTATAGATTGTAGAAGCAATAATTACTACATGTGAATGGCTTTTGAATAAATCAAAAAAAAGTTATGGTATTTTATTTACTTAAACTCATTGCAATTCTAACATTTATGCATTAAATAATTATTAAAATTAACCTTGTGCCTTCCATAGCTTTCTTCATATTCATTGATTGGATTAAATTAGTCAATAAATATTTTTTTTTACAATTTTTCTCATCATACTTGTAGAAAAGCTTGTTTTTACTATACTTAGTTTCTTATAACATGTTTCCAACCTCCATTGCACTTAATATTCTTGAACTTCAATCCATTCTATCCATGTTGATTGTCATGGCTTAAGGATGAAATTTCAATGTAGCTTGAAGTAGACATAACTTGTTATGGGATATTGCTTGATATAGAATTTGAATTGATGGTACATGTTGATTTTCGAGGTACATTTGTTGAGAAAGATGGCAAAGAGTGAGGTTAAAGATAAAAAAAAAATGGATTTGGTGTTCTAATTCTACTACTGGATTTAATAGCTTTGTTCCAATAGTCATAAGAGCATTTTCATTGGTCTAATGGCATTTTCTAGCAGGTATATTTGATTTTGACAAAAATAACAATTTCAAGAGTATTATAGGCATTAAAATTATTATTCCACTTGTAAAATGGTAAACTTACAATTATTTAAATTCTATCTTTAGAGGAAAATTAACATATGTAAATGAAATCAAATTATAAGATGTTATTTGTTAAGAAAGCCAAAACTTGAGAATATAAAATTTAATATTCAAAAAATTAGGGTGTAAAGTTTTTACGCCATCAAATCATGGTGGTCATAAGTTTAATGGCAATTTCTCGCCCTCATTCTATTGCTATTTGATAATTTCATACGCTTAGTATAAAATTACGTAATTTGAACCTTAAAGTATTGGGTTTTAAGCAAAATTGATCCAATTTTTCTAATTATCGTTAAAGGTAAGTTAACCATTATTGTTGCCATTTAATTATTTTTTTCTTTTTAAACCGTTTAGATGAGGACGTTAAAATTAAGTGGGGTTAGATTAGAGATGTATGGCAAGCGAAATATAAGGTAGATGACTCGTTGCCTACCTTATATCCCTAATCAAACCCACTCTTGCAAAATAGTCGAAGAGAGAGAGAGCAAGCCAAATTAAAATTTGTTCCGCAATTGAAAGGGATAGAGAGCGAGAGAGAGAAAAGGAGAGTTATTCAATGTTACCTTGATTTAGACTTAAACCCTAGAGAGATGGTATAGTGAGAAGAGGGGGAAGATAATTTTGGGTTTGATGGGTTTTTTTTAATTGGATTAAATTCAAGGTAGAAAGAATGAGTTAGGGCATTTTCAATTTTTGAAATCTTTCTCAAATTTAGTTTGTGATTGTGAAATTTCATGGCTTCCCATTCTTATTCTTCTTCTTTTATTTCAAAATCATCAAATGCAAAAGCATGTGATGTGGAAGACATATCTTCATTGTTCATTAAAAAACCCTAATATGATTATCCGGAGGATTATCTTATGAAATACCGTAATTACGAACTCTTATCGCCTCGATGGACTTCATGGAGTGATAATAATCTAAGAACGAGGTTCTTTGCATTTGTCAAATTCAATACAAAAGATGATAGTAAAAAATGCCATCACTTTCAATTTCAAGATCAAATGTAATTAATGCTTTGAAATATATTGAAAAGAGATTAGCTATTAAGAATGAATGTTTATTTGGAGAAAATCTAATTCTAAGAGAGAAGATTGGCAGTGGTAATGAAGACAAAGAGAAGAAACATTCTGGATGTAACAATTATGTTGGTTGTAATTATTGTTATGTTAGTATGCTTACTTTTGCTTAAATAGGATGTTATTGAGAATAGGTTAATATTGACTTGGTTTTGTTAAATTTGTAGACTTTGTTGAATGTTTTCTGGGCAATTTACGGGTAACATATGTATTGGTTTAAATGTTTATTGTTTAATGTTTATGTTGGCATAAATTTTGGTTTAATGTTAATGAATAATGTTTAATATTGATGTTCATATTGGTGTTGATGCTGATTTTAAAAATGATGCACAAAAAATATGGAGGGAGAATTGAATTGTAATTTTGATGTTAAATTTACGGGATGTGTTGGTTTAATATTGATGTTCATGTTGGCGTTCTAAGTTCGGTTCCGCATAATTGAATAAATCGATCTTTAATTTTACTGAATTGAATGAATGGATCATTCGATTTTGGAATTGAATGAATGGATCATTCAATTTTGGATATTGGCGTTATGGGTTCAGTTATGCATAATTGAATGAATCGATCTTCAATTTTACATAATTGAATGAATGGATCATTCAATTTTGGAGATTTAAGAACAATTCTTCGAATTGATCTTCGATTCCGCATAATTGAACGAATTGATCTTTAATTATGGAGATTTGAAAAGTAATTCTCCGAATTAATCCTCAATTATGCGAATTGAATGAATCGAAGATCAATTTTGGAGATTCGGAGAATTGTTCTTCAAATCTCCAAAACAAAAGAACGATTCTCTAGAATTGATCTTCAATTCTAATGATTTACAACCATAACCATATTTATAACATCATACAGCCTATCAACATATTTGTTAGATGGTTACTTATCAAACATTATAAAATTTGTTCTATATAAAATATTTTATGCATAAAAAAGGACCTTTTAATGAGAGGATTATATTATCCTTATGTGGACGAGTGTAATAAAATTAGTTAATATCATTAGAAGAGTCTAAATAAATCCCAATCATATCAAAATATTGAGTGATACTTGGGAAATTGCATTCATAATTAGGTTGACGGGCGAATCACGCATTCCAATTTGTGTGGGTTACCCATATTTTGAAGTGACAATATAGTTACCCATCTCTTCGTGATGGTTAAATGGGTCGTATCACGACTATCATTAACAATATAATCCGCAAATATAACAAGTAATGATATTGGTAACCATTTCCATTTTCCACTTGTTAAGAAAAAAAAATTAGTGTGGACGCAACGTAAGGTAAAAGAGTGTTTGAGCATATGGGTATTACCATGGGCCAAATGGTATATCAAGCCTAATACAAATAATCCAAGAGGAGGAGGTAACGTTGGGTTTGGAAGCTCGCCCATATGCGAGCAAAAGGGACCAATTTATTGGAGAAAAAAGACATCTCGTGCGGGCTTAACTGTACACGGAAAATGAATTGACATGTTTAATGTTTTAGAAAGTAATATAAATTTATTTTTAAAATCGGGTTTAATGAGTTTTTATTTTTAAGTTGAGAATTTTTTTTGATATGGTATTAGAGTTTAGATGATCAAACGATCATTAATTCGAATCTCACCATCCATTTCTATTCTAATTAAATAATTCCATCGCAATTCTATCGTAAAATCGTCTCTAAATAACTACAAATTTATGTCCGTTGTTAATTTTTGACGTTAATCCGTGGTTTTCTTGTAGTGACTTCTCTTCTAATTAAATAATTAAACACAAGTTTTAAACCTAAATGGCTTTCACTTGAAGAAATGTATTCAAAAATAGTATAAATTTATTTTTAAAACCTCAATCAAGAGCTTAAGTTGTTAGATTGAGATAGTTATTTCATATAAATCTTTTGCATTAGTTAACGTAAAATTTCAATGCAAGATATTATTACATGTTACGTAACATATAACTGCTTTAACTTATCCAATTTATATACATACGAGTTAACATAAGATTGAATCTCACTACCTATTTGTCTTCTAATTAAATAATTCCATCACAATTTCGTTTCTAAATTTATTGATCGTAATTCTATCTTAAAATCATCACTAAATAGCTATGATTTTGAGTTTATCACTAATTTTTTACCCTAATTCATAATTTTCTTATAGTAATTTCTCTTTTAATTAAACAATTAAGCACAAGAGTTTTAAATCTAAATATCTTTCACTTGAGAGAATGTGTTAGAAAATCATATAAAATTATTTTAAAATT